GTGTGTGACTAGGCAGAGCAGCTCCACAGAGATTTGTGTGTGTGTGTGTGTGTGTGTGGAGGGCGGGTGAGTTAGCTACAGTATCCTCTGCTCCCAGGTCTCAGCTGCGGTGTAATTGATTAGATGAATTAGTATGAAATGTAGAATTAAACTCCATGAATAGGGTCATACGTTATCCAGCATTGTGTGTGTGTCTGTGTAAGCAGATGTGTGATTGGAATGAAATATGAAATTAGTCATGATGAATAGCACCATATGCGTGCATGTAATTGAATTACCCAACCTGTGTTCGGGGTGCTGGCATAAATGAAATGTTCACCTAGTGTGCTTCATCCTGCAGAGGCGTGGCAGCAGGTCAATCAGAGAGCTAGTTTTAACTATCAGTACACTTTTTTTGATTGTTGTTTAATTTCTGTCCCATTATTTGATGCACAGGATACACAGCTACGTGGAAAATTAGGGAGACACAAGCATAAAATGTCTTAGAAAGGTGTTGGGCCACCTTGATGACAAAATTTTCAACATTTCTGGACCTCGGTTGGAGGCCTGAAAACTATCCTTCGATATTTACGGACCATCACTGTAAATCATGTAGTCATGGAAGCGCTGTTTAAATGGTAAATGAACTGCACTTGTGTAGCGCTTTTTCACTCATTCACACACAGTCACACACTGGTGGTGGAGGTTACCATACATGGTGCCACTTGCTACTCAGTAACCATTCACACACACTCACAAACCTATGGAACAGCCATCGGGAGCAATTTGGGATTCAGTATCTTGGCCAAGGATACTTCGACATGTGGACTGGAGGAGCCGGGGATCAAACTCCTGATCTTCCGATTGAGCCACAGTCGCCCCCATTTTAGCACATTGGTCCAAAATCTCCCTTATTGTAACTTTTACTCCATTACAATTGAGAGATCAAATTTATTGTATTTTACAATGTTTGATGTTGACATCTTGTGCTGTCACAAGCATGAGCCTCTCGTCCATGAGTAAATGCACCTTTTTGCGCAGTGATGGTGTAGTTCGGTATATAGCAAATAGTTAATCCATGAAACTGCTCACAACAAGATCTTTGGATTATCTTGAGTGAGCGAGGCATAATTTCTAGAAAGAGACATTACTGTTTAATTCTGACAACACATTCTTATCCCAGGTCAATACTGACGAATTGTCATGCCCCCTCTGAGTGTTACAGCGATGTGAAGGCGAAAGATCTGAAACACATTGCGCCCTGAAGAATGGCTGTATTTTTTGGTGATTTGAACACCACAAGCCGGGTGCCACCTAGTTTCATTACATTAGAGAGGTAGACATCTGGCTGATATCTCCAACACTCAGCAGCTCACACCAAAACAATTTAGACAGATAAATAACACTACAAGTAAGAGGAAAAATATGTATTTTTGACTTCGGTTTTGACTTTGGTTGAACTGTCCCTGTAAAACTTCCTTCAAAACTTTCCTTTAATATGTCACCTGTCTGTTTGTTTACTTCCTTAAGGCCTACTCTTAAGGTACAAACTTTATTCACACTGTACAAATACACATATATACACTACAATTCAACATCTGACCAGATTTCCTGACTCACGGACACACAGGCACACACAGACTTCCTCAGTGGTGAGATCAGAGGCTTCTGGCACAAACAGGAAGCTAATATAATCTAATATCAGAGCCTGTTTGAGTTGCACACATCATCTCCTCTGGCCACACTTACTGTCAAATCCTCATGAGCTTTATAGTGACTGTGTGTGTTTATTTTACTGACACAATCAGCTGGGAACGAGTGGCCATGACTAAACTTATGGCCAGCAGTGATGTGAGTGTACATACTGTGGTTGAGTCATGTTAGGGTGAAACTATCCGGCTATGACACACAGCACATAAAATATAAGCCACAGAGAAGCTCTGTTTGCTGCATAGCAGTCACGGTTAAGGAGACACACACTCACACACACATATAGTATGCACATACTGTACACTTGCAAACAAGTTAAGCCAGGGTGGCACACTCTGGCAGACTGCAGAAGAGGATTATAGCTCTGCACACACACATGCACACTTTCAACACACTTTCTTGACAGGATACAAACTGAGCATTAAAAGAGCAGAGACACTGTAAATATGCACATTAAAAATTATCTACAATTGTAGATGCGTTGGTGCTTTCTTTGAAGCCTGCCCAACTATATAACCTTGAGAGGAGAAAAGGCAGTTTGGAATTAGGTTCAACTTCTTTGCAATAAAAAGTTTAAATGCATTTCAACAGCTTCCAGAAAGTGGGTGTGAAGTTATTCATTTATGAATTATAGCTGTAGGTGGAGGGAACAATAGCGATAGCAAGGGTACAGGCTGTTTTACATTATTGGCAGTGTCTTGTCATTATCTCTTGAGGGTGTTTACATTGTTGGCTCACCTTGTGCCTTCTGCAGTTTTGTTCTTTTAACTGTACAGATATACTGCTGTTATAGTTTGAACTGCATGTGTGTTATGTTTGGACTGCTTCCTGTCACAGAGTTGCTCCTTTCACATTGTGTTCTGTTTCTGTTCTCTATTGTGGGCTTTTTTTTTTTCCCAATAAAGTAAGCGGAGAAACAAACTTATCTTATGAAATCCACAGAGGGAAAGTTGGTATGCAGCTCCTTCCAAGTGCAACATAATTATTTGGAATTAAGTTAAAAGTGTGATGTTTATATGTCCTACAGGGTTTCATCAGAAAACATAAAACGAGAAATCAAACATGGAGTTAGCCGTGCAATAGAGAACATACCAGCCAATTAATAACATTTCTCCCACAAAGTATTTGCAGCTCATTTGGTCAGTGGATCAAAGAAATCAAAGGCTCCGTGAAGCAGATTAAAATCACAGCGGTGAGAAGAACTCGTCCTGCATTAAAAGCTATGACGAGTGCCAAGAGAAACTCCTCAGGTTGTAGTTTTTTTTTCAAGCTCAAAATTTGCATTATGACTTCTAAAATAAATACAGAAATGTGTTTAATTTTCACTAAAATAATGCAGTTCTTATAGTTGTGTTGGTTTGTTTTGCAGAAAACAGTGTAAGAACTGTTTTATATGTACATATAATGCTGGATTGCATTACAGAAAAAAGCTTAAAGTCTTCCTCACCATACAGCCAATCATAAATCATGTTTTCTGATCAGCTCTGGAATAACAGGCATGACAGCTTTATTTGTAGAGCACATTTCATTTAACAGAAATCCAATATGCTTTACATTTTTAAAAAAGGAACATATAAATCATCAAGTATATGCCATGCAATGACATAACAATGAAACATCTATGAATACACTCCCATAACCTTAATACACGCCCACACTGTTTAAAAACTGTTCATAGGTCTGAGAAAACAGGAAGGTTTTTAAACAAGCTTTAAGTGTAGATACAGTTCTTATAGATGATTACAGCTCATCAGTTAAAGCACTCCAGCAAGCAGGTCCACAGTAATCTAAAGCACCTTTACAAGCTCCTGATCTTATTCTGGTCACAACCGAAAAAAATATTACATACTGCCTGAAGATCTGAGTGGTCTGATGGGGGGTTTAGTCAATGAACAGGTCAGTAATATACAGAGGAGCTGAGTTGAAGCATTTCTATTAAATATTTTGATAATCCAGTGAATAGAGCACCGCAGTATCTGAAGCGGTTTGTGATCTGAATCTTTTTTTTTTACTTTCGATACATATCTCAGGTGGTAGAATGATGACCTTATAATATTTGATATATGATTTTGGAAAAAAGGCAACTTGAATAATGTTGAGCTGATACATTTTGTAGTGTTGGACCAACTTTTTATATCAGAATAAGTTGAGACAACACATTGCATTGTGCAGTTAAAACCTTGCAATATACTTACTGAATGAACACATGGATTCATGTTGAGACAACTATTTACAAAGGTTAAAGTTGGCTCAACTTGAATCTATAAAGTTGTGCTGACTTGCCTTTGCATATAGAGAGAATATAGAGAAATATAGAACCAACAAGAAGAACAAACAAGAAGACCTTGGTAAGTAAATAGCCTACTACAATATAGGATTTTTACTATTTATAAGTGGTAGCCATTTTCAAAATATTAAGTTTTATTATTGTTTAGAATACTCTCAGATTATCAAGCAGATTATAGAATAATATCTAATTCATTCTATTCATTCATTTCGTTAAGTCAAGCATTTAATGTTTATTCAACACAGTATCATGGGTGCTAAAATATGTAAAGAGTATGGGATTAATATTAAATATTCATCTTTGTTTTCAGTACCATTTTTTTTTTTTTTTTTTTTTTTTGCTTTTTAAATATTTTTTCCGCTTTGTTTTTGACCTACTCACTCTCTTAAAACATGATTATATTGTTCTGTATTTTGAATGATGTAGATATTCTGTAATTTATTTCTCTCTGACAAACAAGTTCCCAAGAAAATGATTCGTGACAGTGTGTGTGTATCTGTCTTTGAATTAATGCCACTGTAAAAAAAAACTGTTGCAGGTCGTAAAATGAATTTACATATCAACCGCTGGTTCTCACCGCAACCTTTTGTTTATCACAGCTGCTTTCTCAGGCAGCTAGATATGTTTCCTTCTGTAGTTCGGGTAAAGGAATTATTATTATTATTATTATTATTATTATTATTATTATTATTATTGGTAGGCCTACAATTATTACTGAATAGGAAAGAAAAAAAGGAGCACTCAGAAATCTGGTGATCTCTAGGAAGCTGTGGTTTGTTCTGATCAGCTTTCACTCTGCCAAATAAATTACCTTGGCAGCACTACATCGGAAACCCATTATTCTCCTCGGTATACACAGTGATTTAATGGCATCTTACCAGCGTTTTACAACTTTTATCTCCGACCTCTTCATTATTTTGTGGACTGGGAGAGAGGGAGAGAGAGAGGGTTGTGGGAGGCGGGTTTTCCGCCAGCAGGGTTTGGTTGATTCTCTATTGATTTGTTGGAGGAGCAGAGGAGGAGGAGGAGAAAGTGAAAGGGGAGGAGTGGAGGAGAAACCCCGGCCTGGTGGGGAAAGGAGAGATGTGATTGTGCGTGTTTGGGGACGAGAGCGGAGAGCACAGAGTGATCACAATCAAGGCGAAAGTCCAACCGCGGAGGGAGCGCACTTAAAATCACGTGGGGGGTGTGGATTTATACAGGGGGGAAAGTAAAAGTGTCGTTGGAGTGACTTCTCCTTGCACTTTGTTTTCCTCCTCTCTTTGCCTTTCAACCCCCCTCCGCCCTGCATTCCGCGGAGCAGCTGTGTTTTAATGCCCCTGCGCACCCGAGGAGGAGAGGAAGGAGAGAAGAGTGAGGAAGAAGAGGAAGAAGAAGAAGAAGAAAAAGAAGAAGTGAGAAGGCCTGGACACCACCCCTCCTCGCCCTCTGGAGGTCTGTCCACTCTCCCCTCCTGGCCCTGCATGGACGGGGATGGGCAGAGCCGGATGCTGTTGCCGCGGGGCTGAGCGCCTCGCCTCCCCGTCTCTGGTGCGCCGCTTCCGGCCACTGCTGCTGCTGATCATCGCTCTCTGCTGCGGTGCTCACATAGGTAACTAACTACACTCCAACACTGCAACAACTAGTGTGCCTCTCGGTCACGCTCCCAACTAATCTGTGATTTCACGCACTTTGTTATCCAATTTCGCACTAATTGCTGCGCGCTGCACAAACTACAACCACAGTGACAACATTTATTTTCAGTCATTTGCAGTTAATCGCGATCAGATAGTTAATTATTAGTTATTAATTGTTTGTAATCATTGCGTGGCCGATCCTTGTGTAGGGCGCAGTGTTGCCTGACAATGGCTCTCTCTCCAGCGGCAGTGCAGCAGTCTGAGCACGGATCGAGTTTCTCCTCCTCTCTCCTGGGCCGTCATTCTCCTGTCTGCCCCTTAATAGCTCGTGGAGGAGGGGAAGAGAAGGGAAGAGAGGGTGACTATCTCTCCTTTACTCAGAGCAATCCTGAAACAGTCTATCCGAGTGTAAATCTGATCATGAAAAGTTAAGATCAGGGCTGTCCTGTGTTGTAAATCTGACTAAACATATTGGGGAGCACAGTTAATGCTCAGTTGCATGGTGCAAATTAGTAAAATGAATCCTAATAGATAGTATTAAAGTGATTAAAGTTGCACAATGTAAAGGAAAAAGCTTCTCTGAACATCAGTGTGTCAGAATTTGTGCTTGTTCATCTTGTAATAATCACCAAATGCTTAAAAACTTAAACCTCACAGTCTGTGCCGCATGCTGGACAGAAGAGGAAAACTAAAGAATTAAACAAAAGAAAAGTCTGTTCACTGAAAGCCAAAGGTTAACAAGACTGAAACATAGCATGATCCCTTCTCTGCGGAGGTCATGATCTTCTAACATTGCTTGTTGGTTTTAAATTCATCATCACAGATGCATTATTCATATGCTGCAAAAAGCTGTATAATGTCCTCTTTCCAGGAACCAGCTTTTTTGGGGGGCAGAGTCTGTGTGTGTTGCTGTGTGTGCAGGGGGTCGGCTGTTGTGGCGGCTGTCTGTTGAGCAGTCACACCTCCAGTAATTAGTTTAACACAGCTCAGGCAGCGGGACAAAACCGCCTCTGCACGCAGCCTGGTGGGAACAGAAAGACCCACTTCACATTAAAGACCCTCTTGGCACCTTCTGCTACACGTGCGTCACCTGGAAAGAATGTGTATTATTTTAGTGTGTTGTTGTTTTGTTTATTATAACTTGTACATTTGAAGGCATTTAGACATATTTCTTTGTCGCCTCGGCCGTCAGCCTCGTGTGTCTGTTTAGACGTTGAGGCAGGAATGTCTGAGTTGTTGCTCGCACTCCTGAGTGTCTGGTCGAGAGAGAGAAGGAGTGCACGCTGTAGTGAGCTCCTGTAAAGCTTTGTATCTCTAAGCTTGGAGGAGCTGTTTGTGTGATTTGAGCTCAGTGTGTGTGTGTGTGTGTGTGTGTGTGTGTGTGTGTGTGTGAGAGAGAGTGCACACAACAAGGTGATCAATAAGCACTTCACAAGCCATTCCCTCGGCTGAGAGATGATCCCAGTAGATCCTTTTCTGATCTCCGGAGATCAGAGAAGTTGGAGGCTGTTGGATGGGGAGACAAAGAATCGCTAAACTGAGCCGGAGAGATTCAGCTGGGGGATCTTTTGACCTCTGTCTGATGGTGGAGAGGGTGCCTCAGGATGCGGGGGAAAGAGGCCGGCCAGGGAATCAGACTGAGAGGGCTGAGGGCTGAAAACAGAATATAATATCAGAGGAGTGCTGATGGAGGGAAATGATTTGAGCTGGAAAAAAAAATCTAACAACAGATGAGGCTTGAGAGAAAAGACGAGATGAGACCTGGGAGGGGGGTTGGGAGTGAAAAAGAGTGGTTAATATTGTGGTAGGACATGGAAGGAGTGCTGTGGGCATTGCTGGTTGTTTTATTGTGTCTATATTAGATACTCACCCCAGGGGATGAAACAAACCAAGCTCTGGACGTGTTGAACGGCTTCAGCTCCTTACACGAGGAGTTCTTTATTCTCTTCTTAACTATATTTTCAAGTCAATTCAGTATTCATCACATCGACTCGACGTACCACAAATTGCTTATTTATATGCATAGATTGGATTTTCTTTTGAAAGTACAGCTGCGCGTGCTTAGAAAGGACGCTTAGGAGGACAGCTTCACAAAGAGGGAGATCACTGGAAGCCTTGAGGAGCAAGAATATGGAAAATTGTGCTTTAATATTGTTAATTAGCACATGAAAATCCACTTTCTTTGCAGCAGGGGCGTGAAACTTCAGCAGATGCTTGTCATCAGAGAGGTTTTAACCTTTTATAAAAGTCAGTGGTTTGAACCCGAGTCCTTCAGTTACAGCGTCGTCTCTCTTCTCTTTTACGTCACCCTGCTGGGAAAATGTCAGTGAATGAGTGCTTTTGTGTGTTTTTAGAGCAGCTCATGATTCTGATACCCCTCCGAAAGAGAATAAACCCACTCTGATTAGATTGGGTATTTAGGTACTGCAGGGCAGATAGGAGGGAAAGAGGGAGGCTGTTGGTGCGCCAGTCAAAGACACAATGTGTCCTCAGTACTCAGACCGTCTGTACAGTGGTGGTTGGCACGGAAGGCAGCCTGTGTATGTGTGTGTGTGTGTGTGTGTGTGTGTGTGTGTATGTGTATGTGTGTCTGTGGGTTGGTGTCAGTATTTAACAGGCAGGAGAGAGATTCTGAAGCGTGGTGTGAGTGGGGGTCCGTACCTGCACCTTGGTTTACTAAAACTCAGAGCACTACTGCCCCCAAATGGTGGTGCCCGACTCCGTCATGCCCCAAAATCAAATAAATGTGCAAAGAAGAGCTGGAATGTGCTGTTTGCTTGTGTGTGTCAGTGGTTGTGAAGTGATGGTGTGACATTAAGGGAATCTGCTGATTTCAGTGCACACCACGGTCTCCCTGCTCTCTGCTTGGCCATTAGGAGATCATACCACCATCTGATGATCACTGACTGTGTGCGTTTAACAGAAGCATTCTTTCTGAGATAGCTATTTGTGTGCATGTGTGTGTGTGTGTGTGTGGGTGTGTGTGTGTGTGTGTGTGTGCAGCTGCCCATACACTGCAGAGCCTCTCTGGTCTAATCTAATAGGAGCACGCTGTGACTGATGCATTAGGTCTGGTCTCTAATCTCTCTCTGGCTCTAACTCCCTCTCTCTCTCTCTCTCTCTCTGATGATCTATGATATAAAAGGCTGGTTTGACCCTTGTTACATTCAGAAATATAGCAACTGATAAAACATCAGGGACAATTTCCGACCAAGAAATTTGTTCCTGACGGGTATACAGGGACAGAATGATCAGTCTTTTGGATGCATTTCCTTATTTCAGCTTGCTCATGGCTGTAAACAAACATTAAAGTGACAGTAAGTATAAAAGTTATATGTAATAAACAGCGGTGGGAGCAAGTCGTTCTTTTACAAGTCTCAAGTAAGCGTCACACACTCTGGCTCCATGTGCGTGTCTTTTATTTTGATGACATGTCAGCCTTTGGGCCTTCTTGAAGTGTGTGACACTTGTTTTCTACTATAGAGTCTACTGCCAGTGATCACCTCATCATAATTCATGGTGTGCATTACTTTTATATTTTAAGTCCCAAGTAAGTCAAATCTTTCCTCTCAAGTCCCAAGTCAAGACGGGCAAGTCCCAGGTCTTACACTTAGAGTTTCGAGTCCTGAACAAGTCACAGTGTGCTCTCCACCAAATGTAATGACATTTATAAACAGAGTAATTATACATTAAATTTACAAAAATCATGACTGCTTTTTAAAATTTATATTTATTTGTTAAAGAAAATTTGTTAAAAAGTTCTCTAGCTGTTAAGCTAATATTAGCTCAGCATTAGCTCGCTAACTATGTTAATATTAGACTTACAGTTCTTCGTGCAACCTCAAATGTCGTACAAAATTGGAAGTTGTTGCATCTCCATCTATAATTTTCAACACGCACATTTTGCATACTGCAGTTCATTTTTTGTTGACCACTACACAGTTTTTGTACATGAATGAATTATCTTTGATGTTTTCCAACTGGCGCTCTGTAACATAACATAGGTTCTTCATGGTTCTCTCCTGTGACTTGATTGGATGCTGTCAGATTGGTTCAAACAAAGTGGATCTGAGGAATTAAGTGATGACTTGCGGGGAATGAATAGCAAAAAAATTAGCTGATTCAAAACATGAAGGGAAATGAATTCTTTCGTGGCACACTTTTTAAATCACATACTTCGTAATCTTTGGACTCATTCGAAGGTATCAAGTGTTTTCAAGTCAAAAGGCTCAAGTCCAAGTAAAGTCACGAGTCATTGGTGTGTAAGCAATGAAAAATGAAGCCAACATTAAGTACCAAAAACTGCAGTTCTTCTAATGTCCACTTGAGGCTGGCTCCAGAAACCAGTAAATCCCCATTAACCCCCGTGTTAAAATGGCCAACTTTACAGCAGAAATAACATGTTTACAGCCTGGTACAAAAAAAGGTTTTGGTCTCTATAGCTAATATCCCCTTCACGACAGCTGTAAGGGGGGTGAATATTTCGATAACTCACCCATTTATACTTTATTAAGGTTTAAACTTACGCATAATTAAGCATTGGCTGCGTCAAGTGACAGGCTGTCTGCCGATAGTGTACTCTGTTTCTCAGTCAGATCCACTCCTCGCTCCTCCACAGTGCCGGCCTCTTGCCCAGATATGGTCCCTTCTGGTTCCAAAAAAACAAGATGGCGACGGCCATAATGCCAGACTCATGGCTTCAGAACAGAAGTCCATAAACCAGTGGGTGACGTCACAGTAGCCACGTCCATTATTGTTACAGTCTGTGTGTGAAAGTCCAACTTAAGTTGCAAGTCTTGTTTTGATTTTGTGGAGTTGACTCTTAAGTCATCAAATTTGTGACTCCAGTCTGGCTCAAGTCCAAGTCATGTGACTTGCCTACACACCTCTGCCGATAAAGGTACAGTTTGGTTTGTGTATTTTCTCTGCTAAAGTTACACTGGATCACAAATACAAAACCTTTAAAAATGACCATAGAGTTTAATCTTTTCTGACACAGTCATAGCAAAAATGGTGGTGTGTTAGTCTACATAGAGCACCTTGTGTTGTCTTGCTCTTTAACACTGTATGTGTTATGTGCTCCCTGCATTATCTCACTCCTTGTGGGAAAGAAGTATTTTATCTTTCCTATCTGGCTGCTCTTTGGTTTATTACCCTTCAGGTGTGTTAAACTCACAAAGCGGCACTACTGATTAATCAAGACTTTAACCAGCAGGTGGTTCTTTGTCCAGTTTTATTAGGTTGGATTGTAACTGACTGGTATCATTATGGATTTAACTTCAAAGTGACCTCAGTTCTGTGTGCACATCTTGCCTCCAGTTAAATTCAGCTCTCAGTGTAGCACAAACCCACATTTACAGATGTGTGATAATCTCTAAGGCTGTTTGAGCTGGTCACTGTAACTCTTCTTTTAATGATATCACTTTGCTAACAATATTTCTGCATCTCTCTCAAGGTCAGTGCCAGGTGGCCACCCCTCAGTGCCGTATCCAGAAGTGCACCACTGACTTCGTCTCCCTGACCTCCCACCTGACGCCGGCGGTGGATGGCTTTCACACTGAGTTTTGCAAGGCTTTACGCGCATACTCGGCCTGCACCCAGAGGACAGCCAAGTCCTGCCGGGGGAACCTGGTCTTCCATTCAGCCGTGTTGGGCATCTCCGATCTCATGAGCCAGAGGAATTGCTCCAGAGATGGGCCCACGTCCCCCACGCGCCCCGAGGTCCAGCATGAGCCCTGCAACTACCACAGTCGCACCCAACACGCCCACACGCACCCCCACGCGCATGCACACACGCACTCCCACACTCACGGCCACGGCCACTCTCACCCTGTCTACCTGTTTTGCGGGCTGTTCGGGGACCCACACCTGAGGACGTTTAAGGACAGCTTCCAGACTTGCAAGGTGGAGGGGGCGTGGCCTCTCATCGATAATGACTATCTGTCGGTGCAGGTCACTAATGTTCCGGTGGTACCTGGCTCCAGTGCCACGGCAACCAATAAGGTGAGAAGAGAATTTTCATAAAAGGGGAAGCAGAGGGAAATGAGCAGTGGTGTAACTAACATTTAATCAAATACTGTACTTAAGGACACATTTCAGGTACTTTTACTTTACTTGAGTACTTGATTACAGTTATTTGATAACTTGAGTTACTAGTTACATTACAAATTCAGATTTTTGGACAGAGTGCAGATGAATCGATTAGTCGATTGATTTGAATAGGAACTGGTAACTATTCTGAGAGTCGTTTAAGTCCTTTTTAAGTACTTTAATTTTTAATACATTAATACATTTTCCTTGCTATTCTTATATGCTACTAATATGTTACTTAAGTAACATTTTCAATGCAGGTCTTTTACTGGTACTTTTACTTAAGTAAAGGATCTAAGTATCTTCCCCGCCACTGGAAATGGGCTTTTGGGGTCTAATTTGTTGCTGTTAAGGCTGGAAGAGTTCCTTAAGTGAGAGCAGCTGGTGTAATCCAATTTATTTGTGTGTGTGTATGTGTGTGTGTGTGAGAGAAGCATGTTCTGTAATGACCTCGAAGTTGCTCTACTTCTCTGCCTCTTTCTATGTCGTTTTGTGTGTCTCTCGCTCCCGTAGACTCACACCTGTGAGTCTCAGACAAGCAGCCTGATCTTGTGACTATCTCTTGTGACTGTAGCAGTGCTGGAAACCTAACTTGGTTAATGGCTGCGTGTAGTCTGACCTCTAATAACATGGAGTGAGACGTGTGAAAGGACCCACTGTTTACTTGCATGTGTTTGCAAGTACTTGTGTGTGTGTCTCATAAGTGGCACTCCTTGCACTCAGCTTGAGACACTGTGTGTGTTAAGGGTCCTTATCCCTTTTATGACAAAAAGACACACTCACAAACACGCAGCACCAAATGGATGGCGAGCCACACAAGGTGATCTTTGTGGTGTTAAAGAAGCTTTGTTGATATTTCCCCGATGATCTGCCCTCTCTAGCTTAGTCGATAGCTTTAATTATTAAAACACATACACACCCATGCATACACTTAGTCATGCACACGCTGACAGAAACACACACACATTAAGCAAATAGTGGTGTTGCTACACCGTGGAGCTGAAGGTTTGACCTTGTGTCAGAGGTGGGGCAAGTTATTAGTCACGATTATTAGGGACACACTCTCTCTCTCACTCTCACACGCACACACTCCCACACGCACATTAACAGTCCTCCAGGCTTAATGGCCTGCCAGGCCTCATTCCTCACGGCTGTCATGTGAACAAAGCAGCCATTCACCGGAACTATGATGCTAGTGCTAACCGTAATGCTCACACCACACCCTGTATCCACCACTGCTTCCACTCACCACTGAGCCCTGTGTGTTTTTGTGTGTGTGTGTGTGTGTGTGTGTGTGTGTGTGTGCGTGTGTGCGTGTGTCAGCATGTTTGCATAGCTGTGTCAAATTACAACTTGTTAAAAAGTCATTTAGTCATTTTCAAATGTAGCGTGATGAGAGTCAGCAACCTGTGTAATGGGTGAATGTTAATATTTGTATGTGTATGTTTGTGTGAGTGTGTGTGTGTGTGTGTGTGTGTGTGTGTGTGAGCGAGAGAAAGACCATTTACCTGATCTCCAGGCCTGCAACCATTGATCATTTTCAATTTCAATTTATCCGGTCATTTTTTCTCCATTAATTGATGTGGGTGTAGGAAAATATCAATACACTTAAGTATCACAATATTATGTTTTACTGTATCAATTCATAAAAACACTGCATACATTTTTTATCAATAGTTTACATGCAAAAATTTGTGGCAGTGGTTCATTTTGTGTTTTGTTCAAACCCTCGACTGTTTCTCTTAATTAATGAATCGATTAATCAACTAATTGTTGCGGCTCTGCAGTATATTGACTCATTGTTTCAGCTCTACTCATCTGCTTGATGAAAATTGTGTTTGTTTTGTATCTCGTGAGTTGACTTTGTGACTGTGAACTGTATAATAGTCATTGTTTTTCTTTGAACTTAAACTTAAATGTCTTGAACTTTCCTGATGTTACCAAACTCTCTCCCTCTCTGTAGATCACAATCATCTTCAAGCCCTATGAGGGTTGTACCGACCAGAGGGTCTACCAGGCCGTCACAGACAACCTCCCTGCTGCCTTTGATGATGGAACCGTGAGCAGCGGAGACCCCATCCACATTTCCTCTGGTGCAGAAGGTGCAACTGGGAAGGTCCGGGCTCTGTGGATCTCTGAGCGCAGCCCGGGGCGCCATGTGGAGCTGCACGCTGGCTACATTGGTGTAACTGTAATTGTTCGCCAGCTGGGCCGCTACCTGACCCTGGCAGTGCGGATCCCGGAAGAGCTGGCTCAGGCCTACGATGCCACCCAGGACCTGCAGCTCTGTCTGAATGGTTGCCCCGGAGGAGAACGCATCGACCAGGCGGGGCACCTTCCCCTGCCCCTCTCCCCTCCCGCGCTTGGCCTACAGCTGCAGCAGCTGCGACGGCCCAGCTACTCCTCACAGACACAAGCATCCCCCTACGGTGTCACACAGGTTTTCAGTGTGGAGGGGGCGAAGGACCGCTGTAGGGAGCAGCTGGAGGTGCAAGACATTTACTTCCACTCATGTGTGTTTGATCTCCTGACCACCGGGGATGCTAACTTCACAGTGGCAGCGTACAGCGCCCAAAAAGACATGGAGAGTCTCCACCCACACAGAGATAGATGGAGGATCTACCCCCGTAGCTCTGCCATCTCCACCTCACACTCTGATTGTCAGCCTATCAAACGGCTGATTGTGCTCCTGTTATGTGCTCTGAGCATGGCGTTGATGTGAGAGCGGGACTGGGAGGCTTGTGTGTGTGTGTGCACTAGAGAGAGAGTTTGTGGAGTTTTTTTGCTGAGCACTGATACTGAGCACTGATTTCTCTCATGTAGAGAGGGAACAGCAGGTTGGACAGTTACTGGGAACAAGCGTTTTTGGCACAGGAGATACTGGCAACACTAACTGCATCTGACCTGGCAGAATCAGCCCTCTGGGGAATAACACAGGAGATGTGATGATGGCTTTCACAATCTGTCTTCATCTTTGGATAAGACATTTGACAATGACACAAATGTACCTGTGTGGGTAAATAGAGTGTGTGGATATACACTCCAAACTGTAAATAGCTTGTCTTCAGTGCACAGTGTAATGGCGTAGAGTTTGTTTTTTTGTGTCATTTGATGTGATTTTTCTTTAATACCTCAGACAGAGGATGTTTGTTTGAACAGAAGCACTTTATTTAGTTGTTTTTTTTTTGTTTTTTTTTCCAACAAATCCACATCAGTGTTTCTTCCTCTCACTTACTGTTCTCCACCAAAATCTCCAATGGCTCAAGTTTTGGGGATCATCTACAATTTGTTTTTTTTTAATTCTTTTAAAGTAAAAGTCTGTTGAATACAAGGAGCTGCCATTTGTGTTAAAATGCATCATTCTTCCAGTAGCTGATTTGACTCAGCGTCTCATTTTAAGTCAGTCAATGTGAGTTGTTCTCTTTTGAATGTATTATTAATATTGTCACAGCAAATGCCATCAGCACTGTTTTGTTGCTGTATGAATTTGTTGTTTTTCCTCAATCCTGATTTCAAATATGTGCGAGTGTGTGTGTCAGTTCTTTTTTTTTAACAGTTGTTGACAAGCTAGGATTTGTTTTATTTCCTCTAAAGTTGTGTTCAGAACAAACGCAAAGTGAATTTGTGCCTGAGATTACTTGCGGAAACACAGCCACTGGAGTGCCAGCTATGCTAACAGCTGTGCTAACTAACTGGGGAAGGCCGCTAACATTTAGATTGGTGCTGACTTAGGTCTTAGAAAAACACAACTGATTGCTGTAATCAAGTAACAAATACATATTTTCAGAACTTACCATGTAGTCCTATGGCTTTGCTCACTTTTCTCCAACCCCTGTCCTTTTTATTTTTTTTATGGGGGTGGGTGGGCATTTTACGCATCCAGCCCAAGGGCCCCATTGTGTTATAATCCACCTATGGCTTTCATGATTAGTGATTTTATGCACATTTTTTGCTCAAGTTGAAACATTTCAGTTTGTGTGGATGCATAGTGGCATCTGTTACAGTTTAAGGATCAACTAGTATGAAATCATGTTGCGCAAAAAATTGCTTCGTGTTTGGTGTGAACACACCTTGGGAATCACGTCAGAGGTATTCCCACCTTTTTGCCAAGAGGCTGTGACGATACCGGCTCATGTATGTTGCTCTCTGTATTCTTTGTTGTGTTAATTTGAGCCAAAGACAGATAATGTATTGTTTTAATGTACAAAGGAGATCATAACTCACCACCAAACCAGCACCCTCCTCCTCCTCCTCCTCCTCCTCCTCACACTCTCTCCTGTTTTTAAAGTTGCTACTGTAGACTGTTTTACTCCTACTGCCAGAGTTGACGAGCTGTTCATTACTGGGATACGTGTAAGATACTGGGGTGTAAACAAAACACTGCAAACCCTACCACGCTGTCTGCTGAGACATATGCTTCAGCAGTGTGTGAGACATGTCAACCCTCAAGACTATGAGCCTTTTTCAGATGTAACATTGTGTATAATTATGCCCCTTTTAGTTGGCCATATCAGCTTTATCTCAGTTTTTGTTAATGTGATCCCTTACATCATGTGTGAGTGTCAGTTTGGTGAAGAGTGACTGGTCAGTGTTGAAATACTTAACTTATTTATGAACGTAGTGTCCTGTAGAGGAAGTTAAGCTCCATATTCTTGCTGTTGGATAATAATTTAAAAAAATGTCAGATGTGATTGTACTGCCACTTAGTGGTGCTCCGTTGCTATGTCAGTGTGTTACTCAAGGCGCTCAAAAAAAAAAAGAACATGGAGGAAAAAACTGTGCAAGTGTTTTATTTAAAAAAAAAAACAATAAAGTCAAAACAGTCCACGCTTACTTCCTGTTTATTCATGTCACATTTAACAGGAATATAAAAAAGCAAGAAAGTAAAAATGTAAAATTATGATTATTTGTAACTTGAACCAAGTTTTCGCCACACTTATTTTAATAAAACATGCAATTCAAGATTAAAGATTAGAGTCAGAATACACACATATCTTCCAAACACACACACACACACACACACACACACACACACACACGTGTAACGATATGTGCAATAACCCATCTGTCTGAGGTTTGGTTTTGATCAGATACTGGGTTTGACCTCACAAACACAATCTGCTTTCAACTGCCACAGTCGGCAACACCTGGGATGTCAATGAGAAAAGGCGCGACAAGCATTTGAAACCTGCTGCTCCCATGATCAAGACAGTGGATAATTTCCCATTTAATGCATGAGATTCCAGTCTTAAGATCAGTGTAAAACCATTATCATAAAGCCAACCTCAAGGACACTCAACTTCTTGCAGTGCAGAAATCCTCACTTTGCAGACTTCAGACAAGAAAGAGTTCCCATCTCTGGGTTAGTTTTCTTTTCAAGGTCACGGTGCATCACAAGCTCTCCATTTCCAGCCATCTGAGAGGATAGACAGCATGAAATACAATATATTTTATGTTAGATAAAACATCACACTGTTGTACTACACCATGAAGTAAAAACCTGGGTATTTTCTCACTGATGCCACACAGACTCATAGACTCACCACTTAATAACAGCATAAGTGGTCATTAAAGTGTTGAAGACGATAATCTTTATGAGCAGCAGCCTCATAACCAGGACAACCACTGTGTTTGTCCACACAGCAACATCTGGGGACCAAACCACACAGACCAACATAAGGAACATTTATAAATCAGAGAGGGATTTTATTTTTATTGTCTGCAAATAGTTACAACGCACCGTCTGTTTGTTCATATTCATCACAGATCTCGTCTTTATGATCTGAAATGACAGAAAATACAATAAAAGTCTACAATAAAACATAACATATTTTTGAGTAGAATGTTCAGAAACCAAATTTATGATCAGCTGAAGTCCTACCTCCTGATGAGCTGATGTGGTGTCTCCTGGTGACTTTGTGGCGTCGTCTGTGACTCACAGAGCAGCTGTACGATGGCCAGTCACCGGTCGCCACCGTGATGATCGCCACTGCGCTGCTGCCACGATGCTTCCTGTTTACAGCGATGCTGTATGGCGATCTGGACACGTGGCCTTCTGATGCTGACCTCCAGCTGACCTCTAGGTGTCCTCTCCTGAAGTCACTCACCATACAGACCAGCAGGGTCAAGCCCAGCCTCTCCCCTGACAGGTGGACCGGAGGGGCCAGAGATGCCAGCACATCACCCTCCACCCCTCCTGAAGGATGATGGAGGTCAACATGAAGACAGAAATTAAGATGCAGAGAGAGCTCGATCCAACAGAAGAAATAATGCAATGTTGCACAGAAAATGTATATAATAGATGTAGATATGAGGCTTTTTGTTTAAAAATGGCATGTTTGCTGCTGCTTATAAGGACAAAATTTCAAACATGGGCATTGAAATATCACTGTTACATATTAGTGTGTAACACTAAATAATAATTGAATCCTACATGCATTTAACATTACTGTCAGATAATACTCCAAATCTGTCAGTCATTTGTTTAATCCCTCTGATCTGGATGTTTTAAATCCATGAGGAGTCAGTGCTCCTCTCTGTTGGCTGCTATAGGATAGAGGTTATTATATGTTCTATAGATTTCCAAGCTCTTTGGGGCTAATTTTTAATTTTAGGCTATAAAAATATAAATAGTTTTATATTCACATGACTTCCAACAGCCACTGATTAAACTTAAATACAGCAGTCATGCATCAAATGTTAAGTTTTCTTGCCTATTGATTCATTTCTGACTGTAAATAAATATATAAATATAATAAATAAATATAAATCCTATGGTAATCATACATTCTAAATTTAAAGCTCTTACCTGTCCATAAATAGATGATAGGCAGGTAAAATAGTCCCCTGGTTGGCTCAGTCATGTCTGCTTTGTTGGAGTAGCTTCAGTGCCTCGACTGTGTGTGTGTGTGTGTATGTGTGTGTGTGTGTGTGTGTGTGTGTGTTTGTGCACTTTGTGTATTTGTGAGCATGTGGAATGGGGGCATGCTGTTTGGCTTTGCCAGGAGCATTGCATTATGGGAGATTGACATGTCACATTGTTGTGACCTTATACTAACAATGAGCCCCCCCACAGCCCCTCCACACCACACACATACAAACAAACAACCCCAAACGCACACAAGCAGAGAGAGAGAAAGGTAGGGAGACAGTATTAGCTCTTAGCTCTCACATACATATTGTCTGTGTGTGTGCGTGTGAACTTTATTTGCATTTATAAAGAGGACAAAAACTGAGGAGTCATTTGAATAACTGGAGAACACCTGCACATGGCTGTTAGCTCTGAGGTAAGAAACTGATCATATCAACACACCTAGAACAGTAGACAGTACTGTTGTAGGGTACACCTGCGTGTACACACACACACACACACACACACACACACACACACAGTAATACTTTATGCTTCAGCAGTGGGCGGGAGCTGAAAAGAGAAAGTGAAACTAAACAGCAGGAACAGGAGGGAAGGATGATGAAGCTAAAATGACCGAGGTAAACCTTTTTGACAATTTCTATTTGATTTCTGTTAAAACATGACCTCTATAGCAGGATGAGCATTCATTTATTAACTATAACTTCATCTTTCACATTCAGTTACAAGGAGTCAGTTGTAACTATTATAATTGATCATTATCAGTATGTTACAGCACAACTACAGCCTGTGCAGCCTGATTTGAACTGCAGTTATGCTTCTGCAGCTGTTGTCACCTCACAGTTATAGCTGTGTCCTCATCCTGCTTTGTCCGTATGGAAAATCATGTGGGCTGTTTGTCACGTGTTTGAGTCTCCTTCAGCCTGATGTGTGTTGTTGTTGGGGCCTGAAACTAAAGCTCCGTGTTCCACATTGAACTGACCACTCGACAGAATTGTGAGCACAATAGTATGGGATGCCTGCAATGTCCAAACATGAACACTTTACCCTGTATGTAGAAACAGGTTTGTTACACTGCAAGCTGTAGCTTCATAGGTTTGTGGCAGAATAATTATTTGTAGGATAACAATTTAACAGTGGTAGTAAATGTTACGTCCAGGTTTCATAGTGAATATAGTGACCTTTGAAAGTATTACCACAACCATAAACCTGGCAAGAGGAAGGAAGACATCAGTGGTGAGGCAAAAATAAATGTGAACATTTTGGATAAGACTCTACTACAACATAGAGAGAACAGTGGTATTACTTTTGTTAGTTATTTGGATCTCCATTAGCCACTACCAAGGTAGCAACTACACTTCCTGAAGCCCACACAACATAATGTAGAACAAATATGTAATAACAGTAAAACAAATAATGTATATAACAAATAATGACAGTACTTTAACAATGACAAGTACTCATACTATATCTAAATAAACATCATACACAGTGACTAAGAAAATAAAATAACAAAGAGAGTTCCTCATTAATGGTCATGTAGGCAGTTGTCATGTGACAAAGCATGTCCTGTTTGGAGAGGGGCTGGTGTTTAGTGCCATCAAATCATTTTTAAACTTCTTTTTTATGCCTCCATGCCGATGATAGCTGTAGCCAGAAGCTTTACGTTTTTGGTTTGTACATCCATGTGTCCATCCAATATTCGTGTCCACGATATCTCAAAAAGGCCTTGAGGGAATTTCTTCAAAGCAAACGTCTCTGTGGACTCAACGATGAACTTATTAGAATTTGGGGGTCAAACATCAAGGGCGCTGTGACCTTGTGTTTTTACCCATAACTCAAGAATTATTATGCTAATTATGACAAAACATCATACAAATATCTGATAGGAAATAATGATAAAGTGATGGCATTTTGTATCCAAAAGGTCAAAGGTCAGCTTAAGTGTACAGCAACTCCTTGATTTTGTCTGCCATAGCACTTTCGCCACTTATGACTCCGTATTAATTACAGCAATGTATGTGTTAATCCACTGAGGTTTGTAACTGCATGAGGAGGTTTCAAGCGTAGAGCCAGCATCTTTTTGGCAGTAGTGATGTCCGTTAGGAGAATACATCTATTCAAACGTGAGCATCCTTGCAACATCCTTGCATTCCCAGTACATATCTATGTAAATGTTCCATTTAGAGATGCATGTCTTGTGTTCTTAATTCTGCTTTCTTGTCTTTCAGGTTTAAGGTCCTGGCATTTTTGATCTAGCCATGTTATGGTTGCGTGACATCTAAACAGATCATCCCGGCAGGCATTCAGCACTCACATCAGGTGGTCCTTCATCGCTCCTCATGTTTCAGATGTGACCAATTCCAATACTAGCTGCCAGCCTGACACACGGTTGGCTTTGTTTTACTTTTAATCAGTGGTTGAAGGACATTTCCTCTACAATGGGCTTGTTCAGGCTGTTAGTGCTGTCTCTGTTCCATGTGTCTCTGGTGAGTTCTCAGCCCACCGAGAGGTCACAACAGGCATCAAGCCCTCCTCACCCCCCAGGAGAACAGTCTCCTTTGGGTTCTGACAATCTGTCTTTTCCTTGGAGTCGTCTTCGCCTGCCAAGGTGCCCTTCACAGTTGTTTTTAAACATTCAGGAAATTAAGAAGAAAATTGCCGTCCCCTGTCTTCAATTCATTGATTTAATAAGTGTTCCTTTATCTCAGGTACATCATTCCTCTGCACTACCGTCTCCTCCTGCACCCAAACCTCACAAGTCTCAGTTTCACCGGCTCAGTGCAGATCCAGATTGACGTCCAGAACAATACAAACTGGGTTGTGTTACACAGCAAAAATTTGCAGATTTCCCAAGCCACGATATTGGATGAGAACTTTGCTCATCTATCTGATCGGGTAGTTGTATAATGTTAAGCAGTTATTATTACAGATTAGAAAATTGGTCAGTGTC